CGATAAAACATCAAACATTAAAAACTTCCTGAAACAGGGCTGCCTTCAGATGTCTTCTAAAAGTCAGATAGTTGCTTATTTCCTTGACATCTGATGGGAGGGCATTCCAAAGGGTGGGCACCACTACCGAGAAGACCCTCTGCCTGGTTCCGTGTAAACCTCACTTCTTGCAGTGAGGGAACCGCCAGAAGGCCCCTGGCGCTAGACCTCAGTGTTCAGGCTGAACGGTGGGGATGGAGACGCTCCTTCAGGTATACTGGGCCGAGGCCATTTCAGGGCTTTAAAGGTCAGCACCAACACTTTGAATTGTGCTCAGAAATGTACTAGGAGCCAATGAAGATCTTTCAGGACTGGTGTTATATGGTCTCGGCGGCCACTCCCAATCAGCCGTCTAGCTGCCGCATTCTGGATTAGCTGTTGTTTCCGAGTCACCTTCAAAGGTAGCCCCACATAGAGCACATGGCAGTAGTCCAAGCGGGAGATAGCCAGAGCATGCACCACTCTGGCAACAGTCTGCAGGCAGGTAGGGTCTCAGCCTGCGTACCAGATGGAGCTGGTAGACAGCTACTTCTATGTTTCCTCAACTGTCATTTCTGACCTAACCTGTGTTGAGCTTACCACAGTTGCTGAGGGTTGTTGACCTCTTCCTCTTCCTTCTTCTTTGCCCTCACCTTAGAAGAGAAGCCACCTTTACATGTGTCTCCAGCTGAGATGCAAGAGCAGGCATGGCCCAGGACATCTCTACCTTAGATAGCTCACTCTTGCCTGTCCTTCCTGGACTTGTTCACTAGATGGCAGTGGTCCCCCACTCTTTCAAGGAGGCGCTGCAGTCTACACCAGGCAGTCCTAGGAAGTGTGTACCAGGTAGGATTGGGAGAATGTGCTGTTGCGCTTGCAGCCTTCCATTCCTCTTATGCCAGAGGTTTTGCATAGTAAGGCGGGAAGCAGATGTTTGTCACCTAACAAGGAATTCCCCAACCTGGGCTGTGCAAAATGGCATTGCACGAGAGGTGGCTGGTCTGTGTTCCTGTGTCTGTGTGCCTAATTCAGCCTTCTCCAACCAAGTGCGCTGTAGATGTTTTGGTCTACAACTCCCATCAGCCTCAGCCAGGCTTATGGGAGCTGTAGTCTAAAGTATCTACAGGGCATCAGGTTGGAGAAGGTCGACTTAATCTGATAAAAACAAACATGATGCTAATTGGTGGGTTTTGGTGGTTTTTTTTTTAATTATCCAGTGCAAGGGAAAGAAGTTTAGATAGATGGAAAGAAAGAAAGAAAGAAAGAAAGAAAGAAAGAAAGAAAGAAAGATTTTAATAAGGAATGGGGAACATTTATAATTTATCTTAAAAACCATTGTAAACAGTTAAAATTGTTAGTAGGATTGGAATATCACTAATAGTCTAACAGTGAATTTTGGACACAGTGGAGTGGTAAACGATTTGGATTATCATAAAAGATGCAGGAGGAAGTGATTAACAATAGGACTCACAAAGGGGAGAAGGGAAGTCCAAGAGATTCCTTGGAGTCTTGTTTTTATGTTGTAAGTTGGATAATGTGACTGTAAAATTTTAATTTGAACAACCAAATAAATAATTTAAAGAAAGAAGGAAAGGAAAGGAAGGAAGATAGGAAGGAAGAATGCCCAAATGCCCAAATTCCTGTTTTGATTCTGGAATGTCCCGTATTTCGGTCAGGCAGGCCCTCTGGTACAAGCACCAGACCAAAAGATGCTCACTCTGGCATTGGTTAGCAGTGTGGCACCAAAGTGCCTTCCGGTTCAGCACTCTGACGCAACTCTGTTGACAATCGTCAGAGCACCTGTCGTTCTTGCTTTTCAGAGTCTGACAGTCGTTTACACCCCCAATGCCCCTTTGCCACCCTCTTGCTTCTTATTGCCCCCTAGGTAATCCCAACGCCCCACAGGGGGTGCTGCCACCCACTTTGGTCTAAAATAAACTGCCCCCCAGTGGCACAGTTAAGTATTACTTCCTCCCACCCCTACTGTGGAGTCAAACAGGCGCAGAAATGCCTATTTTGATGCTGAGTCGCTACATGTTGCTCATGCATGTATTTGGCTCTTGCATGCTTTTTCCTGTTCCTTTCAGGGAGGCCTGTGCAGGAGAACGTCCCAGGAGATTGGGGCCTCTCGTGTGTTAATGTGTGCATGATGTGATCAGCCGATGCAGGCAGGGGAGAGAATGACGTCCGTCCTTTTGATTCCCTGCCTCAGGCACCAGTCTTTTGAGGCCTTGCTGTTTCTTATTCTGCCACCTGGAATAAAGAGCTGCTCAGGGCTGAAAGCCGAAGTCAAGCCTTGGCCGGTGTTTTGATGGCAGGAAAAGGAACAATGTACCAGGTGCGCCCCTGTTATCAGTCTAAAGTGAGGTGTCACCAGCAATTTCTCCTACCTGCTGGGTAATGAGAGCTGGCAGGCTGCTGAGGCAGGCACTTTGGCAAGGCTGCCGCAAATGAGAAATTGCAAAGAGGCAGGGTAGGGAATTTGGGGGGCAGGGCGGGAGAGAGCAAGGGTGGCACTTTGTGCCTTGAAATGCTGTGTGCTTAACCCTTCGGTACCACTTGGGTGGCTCTTATTCTGCGCCCTGCTCCCCCGGGGGGGGGGGGGGTTCTGAAGTGAGTTCTCATTTGGAATGTAAGAACACCCTCACATGCTCAGTCGTTGAATTGTTGGAAGACTCTGTTAGTCTTGTTTGTTAACATTCAATAAAATTATACACACATGCCTCTAAGCCTGTGTGTGGCCCTCCTCAGCACCACATCATTTTTGTAGCTGTAGGATTCCTTCCTAAGAGAGGTTAGTCTGGATTCCTCCTTGTTATCTCTCTGCTGGCAGGCTAAGACCTTCCTGTTGAGACAGGCCTTTGAAATCTAGGTACAGATGAGGCGGACCATGGGGCTTCTGCCAGAGCCATAGGTATTTTAATGCTGATTCTAAAAGCGTTCTGATGTATTTGAGCTATTGTTTTTAACTAGTTTGTCTTTATCATTTTGTATTTTATAATGATTTTTTAAAAAAATGCTGTAAACTTTTTAAAATACCAACTTGGGAGAAAGATGGGCTATAAATACATTAAATAGATAAGCTAAATTATATATAGGGGGGACGCGGGTGGCGCTGTGGGTTAAAGCCTCAGCGCCTAGGACTTGCCGATCGAAAGGTCGGCGGTTCGAATCCCGGCGGCGGGGTGCGCTCCCGTTGCTCGGTCCCAGCGCCTGCCAACCTAGCAGTTCGAAAGCACCCTCGGGTGCAAGTAGATAAATAGGGACCGCTTACCAGCGGGAAGGTAAACGGCGTTCCGTGTGCTGTGCTGGCTCGCCAGATGCAGCTTGTCACGCTGGCCACGTGACCCGGAAGTGTCTGCGGACAGCGCTGGCTCCCGGCCTCTAGAGTGAGATGAGCGCACAACCCTAGAGTCTGTCAAGACTGGCCCGTACGGGCAGGGGTACCTTTACCTTTACCTAAATTATATAAGCCAATTATGCATAAGCCAAAGTGCAGGGAATACACTTTGTTTTAGCCAGAATATACTGCCTGCCAGTTTCATTGGATGATCCTGTGTTCTAGTATTGTCAGAGGAGGAATCATAGAATTGTAGAGTTGGCTGGGGACCCCAGGGGTCATCTAGTCCAACCTCCTGGAATGCAGGAATCTGAGTGAAGGAATTCTCTTCTTCCTTTCCATGTACGTGGCTCAACTTCTGCTTCTTCATTATGCAAATGATGTGGCTCTTATTTCATTCTCCCAAGCTGGTTTGAGAAGGTTATTTTCCAAATCTGCGAAAGAATCCCTGGCAGATGGCCATCCAACCTCTGTTTAAAAACCTCCAAGGAAGGAGAGTTCATCATATTCGGAGGTAGTTTGTTTCACTGGGGAATAGCTCTTACTGTCTGAAGGTTCTTCCTAATGTTTAGTCGGAATCTTCTTTCTTGTCATTTGAATCCATTGCTTTGGGTCCTACTCTTTGGAGAAAACAAGCTTGCTCCATCTTCCATGTGACAGACCTTCAGATATTGGAAGGTGGATATGATACCACTCCTTCTCCAGACTTTTCTTCTCCAGGCTAAACATCCCCAACTCCAAATTCCCTCAAGTAGTAGTAACCTTGTACCACACACTCTTTCCGACACCTGATGGATTAGACTTTCCCCTGCCAACAAAACATACCTTTCCCACAGATGTTGCACAAGCCTTCCCTTTGGCATCTGGCATTTTTGATGCCATCGCAGGAAATTCAAGCAACGGCCTTGTGAGTGCACTTATTGCTGGCAAATGTTGATCTGTCTCAGATGGAAGCAAGCTCACTGCCAGGATTCAATCCACAATTCTTGTTTTGCTGCACCTGGCACCAAATTCCAGCCAGTCAACTCTCACTCTGACTTGTTAGTTGTTCTTTCAAATCCCAGACTCGATGTGGCCACCTGTTCCTTCTTGGTGGTAAGGGACAGGCACTCTGCATATGTTCAACAACACTCTCCATTATCAGCTTACATGTCGCTAAGCTGAGTCCTGGCGCCGAGAGCCGCTTCTTGAGCCAGCCACAGATGCACCTGTCAAAAATGAAAATAATGGCTTTATAAAAAGGCAACACAGATTTCCCCCTCTCGTTTCCTTGCAGCTCATGAAGCAGTACTTGTGTATCCCAGTACTTGCCCTCTTCCCACAATGCATCCTTCCTGGTCCCTAATGGGTTTTCCAAGCCAAAAGGATTATGGGTGAGAAAGCCTTTAATATTGTCTCATGCTGAAAGCAGGTTGCAAAATTTTCTGAGGCTGAGAACTACCCTGACGGTGGGGCAGCCTCGGAAGCATCAGCCTGGGGAATGCTGAATGAATGAGCCAGAGGGCCATCTCACTGGGGTAAGAGATGTAGGCTTCTGCCAGCTGGTCACTGTAAACAGGAAAAGTTGCCTAAATGTTGCTTTGATGTCTCCAAGATGTGAAAGGGAAAAAAAGAGCATATCTGTGCTGTGCTTAAACACCTTTTGCAATTAGCTAAGTTGGTTAGAGTTTGGTGCTGGCAACACCAAGGTTGCAGGTTTGATATGGGACAGCTGCATATTCCTGCATTGCAGGGGGTTGGATTAGATGATCCTCAGCTCTGCAATTTTATGATTTTAATACAACTTTAGCTGTCTAGGCATCCCCAGAGAATCCTGGGATTTGTTCAAGAGCTGCCTGCTAGGTCCCCTTTGGGCCAAATGGAAGTCGCAACCCCAGAAATCTGTGATTGCCCCTGGATCACACACTGTTACAGGCAGGGTCAATTTGAGATTGTGACCTGTGCGCAGGGCGAGGGAGTTCTAATCCTTCACACCAGCACTGCAGCTAGCTCTAAAATGCTCTGTTCTCAAGAATGGATGCCATTAGAAATGCGATATTTCTAATTAATTGCAGGTCCCTTCTAGATTCTACCCAGAAGAGCCATTTTCTTAGTTGACACTTATTCAAGGTCAAAGCAGAGCTCAGTCTTGGAAAATAATAGTAGTCTAAAACATCTTGACAAGCTGCTTTCCAGAGCTGGTTGTCATTCATTTCTGTATAGCAAAAAGCAGGAAAATGCCCAATAGGCATACAGTGGTACCTTGGTTGTCAAACTTAATCCGTTCTGGGAATCTGTTCGACTTCCAAAAACATTCGAAAACAAAGGCATGGCTTCTGATTGGCTGCAGGAGCTTCCTGCACTCAATTGGAAGCTGCAGAAGCTGCATTGGAAGTTCGACTTCCAAAAAAGTTCGCAAACCAGAACACTTACTTCCGGGTTTGCGGCATTTGGGAACCAAGTCGTTCTACAACCAAGGAACCACTGTAGTTGGATTTTTAAAAATATACTTTAACTCAGTGCAGTCTGCTCTTGCCTTAAATGTTGGCCACCTGGATTCTGTACAAAGAAGAGCTGCTGATATTCCTGATGGTAGAGTATAGCTTCTGATTTCAAAAAAAATTCTGCACAGTTTCCAAAACTTTAACAGACTTAGCATCAGAGTCCCAGATTTCAATGCCACATTTGAGTAAATGCTTCACTACCAAATACCTTTAGGGCAGGTTCAATCAGCTGCCCTCCCTTATTATAACATAAATTCGTCAGTGCCCCAATAGTTTTCTGTGCTTTGACTTTGACTGCCTCCATATACAGTAACACTTCCAAGAGAGGCTTTCATTTAAGAGTATACCCAGGAAGTGCTTTTTTCTGGGGGGTACGCAGGGGTATGCATACCCCTAAAAATTTTGTGAATCTAAGTTTGGCCTCATTGAGGGGCAGTATTTCAATATGAGTAGGAAAATGAGAGTACCCTTAAACATTTTTTTAAAGAAAAAAAGCACTGTGCAACCCAGGTATCTAAATGAGTGAGTGTGTTCTATAGCCTGCTGATCCACCTATAACTAGGATTGTGTTGCCAAAAATCACACTCTTGGTCTTAGAGTAATTTATAGATATGCATTTCTGTTTACAGTAAGTGCTGGAAGCCTCCAAGAGATTTTTGAGCCCTGGTCAGGACCTCAAATAAGAATAAGAATAATAAAATTATTCTTAATATTCTTAGTATATTTCCTTATAATACAGTTAAGGTTCAAACATTGATCACTGGTACTGTGTCATCCTCTGTATTTTGCTTGTTCATGGATAATGTTACTTTGCAAACAGTCTGTTAATTTTTGAGGGAAATGCCATGCATATAGCTTCGAGGAGATGCCTAACAAACTAATTGGCCAGTAGTTTTGTGGCTCCTTCCTATCTCCTTTTTTATAAATCAGGAAAATGATACTCATTTTCCATCCAGAGGGCATTTGGCCTGTGTTGTTTATGGTAGTAAGTGAGCCAACCAGGATAGACACCCATCACTCTGTGTATTGCTTATAGAGCTCAGGTGGAAGCATATCTTGCTCTACCTTGGGATTGAACCTGGAACCTCCTTGGGGCAAAACAGGTGTCCTGCCCCTGGGCCCTGGCCCTTCCAACTACAGCATCATACCACCACACCTTTGGGAGAGGGCTGCCTGGTATGGTATTGCTGCTCATTTTATGTCCAGGTCCTTCTACTGCTAATGGGGCATCCGTTTTCCACTCTGCTTCTAATCTGCACCTGGCAGGTTGTCAACCTTTCGAGGAAACTAGGCCACAAGTGCCAGGAGAGCAATTATTTTTATCCTGTTCAAAGAAGCATCCTCAAACACATGGCAAAGTGCCAGCAGTGTTTACTGGGCTGGGTGAAAATATCCGGTGGTTATTGACTCACATTCAGAAGTTGCAAAAGGAGGCCTGTTAGCTTTGAAAGAGCAGCAGGCAGATGTTCCCGGAAGCTTGAGCAGACGTTATTTTCCTTCTCCAATAAGCCTCCTCCCTTCACAACGCTGCAAAGAGCCCCTGCAGACCTTTAATAATATCTGACCCCAGTCTAGGAAACCTAACCCAGCTGATACAGACATAAATGCTGGCATTTGTGGCAAATGTTAGCTCCTTTCAAAGCTATTGCGTCCCTGGCAAAGGTTCAGAGTCGAGAGCCATCAATTCCTCCCTCCCTTGCACGAGGTCATAAAAAGAACTGGCTGGATCAGCCCAATGGTCCATCTAGTTCAGCATCCTCTTCTCACAGTGACCAATCAGATTCCTCTTCCAGAAAAACTGCAAGCAGGACCTGAGCACAAGATCACATTCACCTCCTGTGGTTTCCAGCAACTGATATTCAGAAGCATTAGAGCCAAGCCACCAAGGCTAGCAGCCCTTGAGAGTCCTCTCCTCCATGAATTTGTCTAATCCTCTTTTAAAGCCGTCTAGGTGCCCACTGCTGCCTCCTGTGGGAGGGAGTTCCATAGTTTAACTATGTACAGTGTGGAGAAGGACTTTATTTTATCTGTTTTGAATCTTCCAGTGTTCAGCTTCATTGGATGTCCACAAATTCTCGTGTTATGAGCGAGGGAGAAAAACCTTTCTCTACCCACTCTTTCCATGCCATGCATAATTTTACAAAGTTTTATCATGTCACCTCTTCCTTGCCTTTTCTGTAAACTAAAAAGCCCCGTACGCTGCATCCTTTCTTCATAGGGCAGTAGCTCCAACCCCTTGATCATTTTTGCTTGCACTTTTCTGAATCTTCTCCAACTCTACAGTATCCTTTTTGAGCTGAGGCGACCAGAACAGTAGACAGGATTCCAAATGTGTTTTCACCATAAAGTTGTATAATGGCACTATGATACTGGCAGTTTTACCTCCTCCCACATTTCCTTGTTACTTTGTCCCTGGGAACTTGGCATCAACCGCCCCTTGAGATAGCTGACCGCTGCAGGCTGCGTCGCTAGAACTGCCTGCCTTTCTTACCAAAACCATGAGGCAGTTGGCACCTTGCCCCAGCCCCTTCTGCTGTTTCTGAGTTGGCCACATTTGCCTTCTAAATACACACAATCAGCTATTTGGGTGGGCAGAATGTCGTGTTTTAGTTTGTAGGCATCTCTTTGGATGGATACATAAGAAGAACCTGGGTGCTGGACCAGACCAATGCTCCATCTAGTCATAGACTCATTTGTTGTTGTTTAGTCATTTAGTCGTGTCCGACTCTTTGTGATCCCATGGACCAGAGCATGCCAGGCACTCCTGTCTTCCACTGCCTCCCACAGTTTAGTCAAACTCATGCTGGTAGCTTGGAGAACACTGTCCAACCATCTTGTCCTCTGTCGTCCCCTTCTCCTTGTGCCCTCCATCTTTCCCAACATCAGGGTCTTTTCCAGGGAGTCTTCTCTTCTCATGAGGTGGCCAAAGTATTGGAGCCTCAGCTTCAGGATCTGTCCTTCCAGTGAGCACTCAGGGCTGATTTCCTTAAGAATGGATACGTTTGATCTTCTCGCAGTCCATGGGACTCTCAAGAGTCTCCTCCAGCACCATAATTCAAAAGCATCAATTCTTCGGTGATCAGCCATCTTGATGGTCCAGCTCTCACTTCCATATATCACTACTGGGAAGACCATAGCTTTAACTATACGGACCTTTGTCATAGGACTGTAGAACTGGAAGGAACCCTGAGGGTCATCTAGTCCAACCCCCTGCAATGCAGTGGTCCGGCAGTCTGTTCTCACAGCGGCCAACCAGATAGTTGTGGGAAACCTATAAGGAGGACCCAAGTGCAATAGCACTCTTCTGGTCATAATTCCTTGCAAATGGAATATCACTGACACCGGAGGTAATATATTTATATATATCTGTCAGGGGTTCAGGGAGAGAGGCACAGGGTAGGCAGGAGATGGAGAGCGATGGGGATGAATTCCAAGCCAGCGAGGAAGAGGATGACAATGACTCAAGAGATTCCATGAGTCTTTCCAGCGAATCAGAGGATTCCCAGAAGGGGGCGCCGGTGGTCAAGGCCAGGGGAGCCCCAGGGGGGAGGTGTCAGGAGCAGGGGGCCAGCGGAGGATCCCAAAGTGGCAGCTGGGCGTCAGGACCAGCCTCCCCACCAGAGTGCAGCGAAGGGGGTGGAGTTTCCAGTGTGTCAGAGGAAGCAGCTCCGGCAGCAGAGAAAGGAGGGAGGTCAGAGCAAGCCGCCCTCCCGGAAGGGAGGGGAGCAGTGAAGGGAGTAGTGTAACTGTCAAAAGGAAAGTTAGAGGTTTGGCGCGCGCGCCTAGTTCAAATGTAGAGGCGCGCGGAAGTACAGGGAGCCCAGAGGAGGGGCCAGGTCCCAAAGCCCGCAGGAGGGGGGGAAGAGCAGTCTGATTCCGCGTCAGAGGAATCCAGGAGGGGCGAAACCCCAGCGGGCAGAAGGACCCTGCGGAAAAGGAAGGAGAGAAAGAGGTGGAGCAGCGCAAGCCTCTTAAATTGGTGCAGGGGAGGGACGGATTCAGAGGGGACTTCAGCGGTCTAAGCGTAAGAGACGTAAGGCTGCGCGCCTAGGATGTCAAGCAAACAATGAACTGCAATAAACACCTTTGTATATGAGAAGACATAGGCGTTGGTCTTTTGTGAGCTGAGACTTGAGGCAGCTTTGACAATATCCATTAATATGTTTGCATACACACACATAGGCACAACAAGAGATAGTGAAGTTCTCTCTGGGAGTTTGTGGCAGGACCTGAGGGATTTTGTTTGCTGA